GTCTTTTCTTGAGACACTGTGATATATAGAAAAGACATCCATAGAAATAGTGAGTAAAATTCCTAGTTTGAGATATTTTTAAAGGAATTATGTGATTTTCATACATTTCTAGTACTTCTGAAGACTATTTACATATATTCAAGACTCAAATCAACCCCCCAAAATTGGTGAATCTGTCCCGCGAAAACCACCAAGCTCAAGTAGTAAACGTCCAGTAGTAAGATTGACGTCATTTATATAGTAAATTGTATGGTAATAGCGTTATTTTTCTATTAAATAGTCAAAAGCTCTCCATTACGGAGGTAATAAACTACTATAAACCTCTTTACACTTCTCTCAGTACTGTTAATACCACGATTTAACCTTGATGTTCATGTCTACTAGACTCAATTGTCCAATAAACATGTTGTAAAGCTATTGATCTCTATCTTCATGTCTTGTAGACTCTGTTGTCAAGTATGCATGTAAAGCTGTAAACTTGACATTTATGTCTAGTAGACTCAGTTATCCAGTGTAGACTCGATTGTCCAATAACATTTTTTGGGATAGTGACCATCGCTATCACTTTTTGTCTTGTAGACTCAGTTATCCAGTATTCATGTTATAAAGCTATTGATCTCTATCTTCATGTCTTGTAGACTCAGTTATCAAGTGAAAACTAAACATAATGTAAATCTATGATGATTGCATTCTCTATCTATCTCCTTGTCTTGTAGACTCCCTTATCAAGTGCAGACTTAATCGTTCGTGGCACACCACCTTATCTAAATCAAATTCAATTTGTAATCATAATTTTCATGGAAGTCGCCCTTCAATGTTAAGAGATATTATTCAACCCATGTATTTGGTCATGTCAAGCAATGTCTACTGTCTGGGCTGGTCACTTCATTTCCTGGACAACTGACCAATTGACCACATCAATGGCTGACTGGTCACCTCTAATCAGACGCTCAAATTGTCCATCAATCAAAACTATTTACCGACGGAAACCACAAACAACCACACGATAAAAGACCACGGTTGTACAACCAAAACTTGAATTCTGGTTCTCACGAAAATTCAACTCAATTAAAGAGATTGTAAAGAGGTTTTCTAAAATGTGTATCAGGGACACTGATAGCATCAATTTACATCATTCTAATTTTCAATCAGACGTCTGTGGTTCCTGCAATTCTACTGAATCTAAGTGTTTGATGATGTCACTAATCGCAAGGTCCTTATGTGATAAAGCATATTTTACGATTAGTGATGTCATCAAACACTTAGTTAAAGTAGAATTACAGGAACCACAGACGTCTGATT